TTTTTGGTTTTTCTCCGGTACCAGGAACCGAACTCACGACCTTGCGCTTGCCAGGCAGGCGCTTTTGCCGCTGAGCTAAATCCCCAGCCCCAATACTGAGGATTAAGCCCAGGGTCTTCACACTGAACTACATCCCCAGCCCTTTTTTTATTTTTTATTTTGAGACAGAGTCTCACTAGGTCACTACATTGCCCAGGCTAGGCTTGAACTTGGTGATCCTCCTGCCTCGGCCTCCCAGAGTGCCGGGATTAGAGGAAGCCCCCTTTTAAAAATCTGTTGGAAGAATTTAAAGATGAAAACTACAAACCCTTCACCCCTGGAAGAGGAGGAGATGCGCACCTCCCCCAGGGCAGGGTGGGGCAAAGGAGCCCTGGGAGAACGCCTTTTAGGGAAGAGCCTAATATGTAGTGGGAACGGAAAGAGCGGGTGTAAAGGAACCAAACCGCGATCTGAGACGCTAGGAAAGACGGCAAGATAAACCGAAAGGAAAATTCCTGGAGAAAAGAAAGGCAGCAATTACAATAGTGAGCGAGAGGCAGCGCCTGGACGCCAGCCCGTGGGGCCCGGGAGTAGGCGGGTTTGACAGCTCAGCCCCAGTCTCTGTCCCCCACATGTCACATGAAGTAAGGCTGCAACCCCCCTTCCACCTCTCAGCAGACGAGTCTTGAATCCTAATTGTGTGACCATTCTGTCCTTCTCTTTAGCCCGGAACCTGTGACAAATCTTTTCCAGCAAAAGGACTGAAATTTAAATGAAATTCATAGTAGCCAGCCCCACCCTTCCCTTCTGGGGTGTGGACCACCCAGCCCTCCTCAGGCTTGGTGCAGGTGGGAGGCAGCTCCCTCTGCTGGGAACGTGGGCTAGTGGTCCCTGAAGTCTGGCCGGCTCTTCCTGGCCCCACATGGGGGTCCAGCAGGGTGGGCAGCAAGGCAGATCCCCAGGTCCACCCGCTTAGCTGGGCGCACAGCCACTGGTGCCCGGGGATGACCCCCCACCTCTCACAGTGACTTACAAATCCTGGGTCACCTGCTAAGCAGGCAGCATGGCGGCGTGGGTGTGTTTCACCAGCCCTCCGGAGTCGACGGAACCCAGGGCTTTGCACAGGGCTGCAGTCTCAGCCCTTATTGTATTTATTTTGGTTTGGTTTGGTTTTTTCTGGTACCGGGAATCGAACTCACAACCTTGCGCTTGCCGGGCAGGCGCTGTACCGCTGAGCTAAATCCCCAGGCCCCCAGCCCTTATTTTATTTTGAGGCAAGTTCTCACCTAAGTTACAAGCCCAGGTTGGGCTTGAATTTGCAATCCTCCTGCCTCAGCCTCCCAGAGTGATGGGATTACTGGGGTGCACCACCGCACCCTTCTAGTTTAAATCAATTTCTGGTCTTAATTTGGATCTCCCCGAAAGCCAACTCAGAGGCATAGTTTGAGGGAAAGTTGTTCCCTGGAGCTGACCCAGGAGCACAAGCGGGGCTTGGGATGGAGCCAGCCGAGACTGCTGTGGGCCCCGGGGCTCCTTCCCACTGGGCCACGCAGGCCGAGGTAGAGGAGGGCAGTCCTCCGATTCAGTGCTCCGGGCACCCGCAGCCCGCGGCCGTGGGGCAGGCTCCGGGACTGCTGCTGCGTCTGGAGTTCTGGTCACGGCACATTACCGTGGTACCCCCACGCGTGTGACCTGTTCCCGTGGGAACCCGATCCGAGGGAGCGGAGGACGTCTGCCGCCACGGGGCTGCGCCCTGTACAGGCTCCACCCAATCCGCCCGCCCCCCGGGATTTTGGACCGCCGCCCCACGGTCCACATCCTATCAGCGCTCAGAAAAGCCCTACAGGCGAATGCAGACGCGCAAGTAGAGAGCAGCGCTGCAGAGAGGTCCGGGACCTCAACTCCCGCCCAGCCTGCCCCCTCCTCCTGACCCCCTCGGGGCTGAGACAGCACCCGCTCCCTCCCGTGTTCCTGACCCCGCCCCGGCCCGTCCCCTGACACCGCCCACCCCGTCCCAGTCCCCTCGACCCCGCCCCCGGCTCCTCCCCCTGACACCGCCCACCCCGTCCCGGTCCCCTGGACCCGACCCCGCCCACCCTGACGCGGTGTCTCTGGGACTCCCCAGGGGCTCCGAGCTGCTGACAACGACCCCACGGCACCCCCTTACGACTCCCTGCTGGTCTTCGACTACGAGGGGAGCGGCTCCACCGCGGGCTCGGTCAGCTCCCTGAACTCGTCCAGCTCCGGGGACCAGGACTACGACTACCTGAACGACTGGGGGCCCCGGTTCCGGAAGCTGGCGGACATGTACGGGGGCGGCGAGGAGGACTAGCCGGCCTCTGCCTTTGGGCCGCAAATGAGAGCAGCGCTCGGACAGGAGGAGCAGGGCTCTGCAGAGGCAGTGGTCTTCCCGACCCTCCCTGCGGACCCGCGGACGGACGGACGGACGGACGGAGGGGGACGCTGGGTTCCGGGGTCTGGAGGCCCTCCCGCCCCGCCCGCCCGCCCTCCCCGTGGAGCTGTCCAGCACGGACACCCGCCCTGCTGCCGCCGCAGTCGCCGCGTACCGCGAAGGGAGAGCCAGAGGCACTGTCCTAACTTGAATTTCCTAGAACAAACTCACTGTTAAAAAAACAAAAGTGCCTTTTGGTACACGTGTCAGACCCCCTAAACTCAGGAGTGACTGGAAGCAGCAGACAGCCCAAGCCCCCTCTGCCCCAGACCCCTGCCCCTGAGCCCAGCTAGTAGTCCCACTCAGACGGCGTCCAGCCACACGGGGGAAGGAGTCCTTCTGGGGCTTTTTTCTTTTTGTACTAGGGGGAAAAAAGAATGACTCATTTGAAATAAGGGTTTGGGGTTCAAACCCCAACAGCCTTTGCGGTACAGTGGGAGTCTCCTGGGCCCCTTTGGGGCTTCCGAGGCCGGCAGGCAAGGACTAGCCAAGCCTCTGACGACCAAAGCCAAGGCTGTGTGGAGCTGACTTTCACCTCGATTTGTGACTGCCCCCTCCCACTCCCAGATGCTGTAAATAGCTGGGGCCCGGGGTCTCCCCTCTGCCCTTGGCCATCCCAGTGCCCCCCAGTCCACCAGACCAGCTGTCACTCCAGTGCCACCGAGCTCCCCCTTGCCTTTGGCCCAGGAGAGTGTGTTGTCCAAGAAGCCAGGGTCCTGCAGCACCCTGGCGTGAGCCCTCCACCCCGTGGGGTAGGACTCGAAGGGACCCCGGCGGGCCCAGTGAAAGCTCAGCAGCCCTGATTGCCCTTGACCCGGCCGCGCCCAGCGCCGGGCAGGTAACAAAGCATGCGGAGCCTCCCCCGCCGCTGAACGGCCCCCGTCGGTGAGCGGGCAGGTTCGGTACCAGCACCAACCTCAGAGGACTCAGGCAGCCCCTTGTCTCCTGGCCCGTTTGACCTGAGCTCTGACACTTGGGAACTGCTGCGGACCCCAAGGACCCGCTCCGAGTGGCCGCCTGGTCCAGGATGCCTCTGGCCTACTCACTCCAGAAACAGTTAACCGCCTTTCCTTGGACCCGCATCTGGCGCCGTGCTGCGGTCCCTCAGCGGGCGTTGCTCCTGCCGTGGACGCTGGCCTCAGGCCTGACTGCGGGCAGCGATGAGTTCTGCCGGAAAGAAGAGACCGTGTGCGGACCCCGGGCCCCGGGTGAAAACCGGGCCTGGGACGTCTGTGTCCGGGCCGGGTGTCCTGTGCTTGGACAGCTTTCTGGCTCAGCGCAGAAGGGAGGTCGTGCTCCCTGGGCTCCTCTTGGGGGTGGGGGGCTGCAGCATTCACATCGGACAGGATGCTGGAGCCCCCGCCCACGCCTGCTTCTGGGGTGGGGAGGTTGGTGGTGCCAGGGGCAGCATGTCCCCGTCTGGGGGTCTTGGACCCACTGCTCAGCCTGTTGCTAAGGTTGTCCCCTTTTCTACCCAGCTTTGGCCTAAAGACACCCGGAGTGGGCTCCTGAGCGCCACACTCGTGGGTGTGTCCCGTTGGACGTCAGGGTTCCCCTAACCAAGCTCATCCCCGCCGCAGTCCTCCCAGAGCGGGGACGGGCTCTGTCCGCGCTGACCCCCGCCGGGACTGCCGAGGAGGGCTGCAGGCGCCGCTCCCCGCAGACGGCCGTCCGGCAGGGGGGCTCACGAAGGCCAGGGAGGGTCCCAGTCCTCAGCCGTGCTATGCAAATTGCTCGAGTCTGGCAGCCAATGAGATGGTCCTGAGAGTCTGGGGGCGTGGTCATCGGAGGGACTGCTGCGCCAGCGCCGCGGGATGGGAGCTGGGGTTTTCTGTTTTTGTGTTCTGGACAGTTCATCCTCCTGGAAGTCCTGAGCCCGAGGGGTGTGAGTGGATTGTTTGACGCGTGCGTATGATCAGGAGCCGAGGCAGCCATGAACTGCTTTCTCCCGGGCTCCCGGGACCAAGTGCCCGCGATGCCTGCCTCTGGGCTCCTCTTCCCCCCGCGGCTCCTCACTGCCAGCCCCCCACGCCCCTAAATCGTGAAGGCTGAGGCTACAGCACCAGCTGCGGGGCAATCGGTGGGGGCTTCCCCTGACAGCTGGACAGCTCCACCCCTTCACCCCACACTTCAGTCAGCCCCCAGCGCCAGAAAAAGACGGGGTTCCCACGCCCTGCTAGATCCATCTCGGAACTCCGCTCAAGGCCGAGTTAGCATTAGCCAAGCGTACAATCAGTGTCAAATGTCTGTCTTCTGTAGCTTGTAGATACAACCTGTCTATGGCGGGCCGTCGGCACGCTGGCGGGGTGCAGGGCACGGTTCAGCTCCTTCAGCGGATTCGCCTTCTGCCAGCAGGAGAAACCTGCCCTGCAGGGCGGCGCGCCCGGAGCACGCTGGCCTTGGTCAGCCCGGTGGGCCCCACACCTGGCCGGCAGGCTTCCCCTCCCTTGCCCCTCAGCACATCCAAAATGCTAGGCCTCTTGCCACCCGAGGGTCAGCGTGAAGGCCAACCGCCAGGCCCTCCGAGGTGCCTGTTTCCCTAGCGTCAGTCCATGGTCCGTTGAGATGACAACTACGTTTCCTCCGAGGTACAACGTCAGGGGAGGGAAGAGTCTCAATTCCCATCGACACTAAACAAAATAACACCAAAAAATCAAAACGAACCCCACGCACAGAGCACCGCGTGCACTAACAGGCCCTGCTCTGAGCCGGGGTCCAGCGGGGAGCGCCCGTGTGCGCCTGGAACGCATTTTACTTTTTCTTTCTCTCTTTTCCTCATTCTGATTTGTTTTGCATGTTTCTTTTTGAAAATGGACCGATGTGTAGCAGCCCGCATGACCGTGGTTGTTCTGGGAAAGACCCTGGAGTATGATGTGTGCACACTGCAAGTCTGAGCACCGCGCGGTTAGACAAGCGTCCCGACTTCTTTTGTAATCGTCGACAGCACAACTATTTTGTATTGTTGTTTGTATCATTTTGTACCGAAAAAAAAAGGAAAAAAAAAGGGAACAGAGTCGATGTTTTCAATGTGTTTTTAGTGCCAGGCGGTCTTGGTTCCAATCGGAATAGCATCTTTGCAGAGTTGTCGTGTACTGGAGCGGGGTCAGGCATTGGCACGCTGCTCCAAAGGAGTGAATAAAGTCCCCTTTGAAGTAGCTGGCCTCCATGTGGCTGTTTCTTCCAGGAGTGGACAGTGCTCAGGACCAGCCGCGTAACAAACAGGGAGGTTGGCGGCACTACCAGGGCCCATTCAGCGGCAAATGCCAAAAGAACCCAACGGATCCCCTGCGCCACTCTTAGATTCTCTACAGCCCAATAATCGGGTGGTCTGGCCAAGGAATCTGTGCTGTTTTATTTCACTTTTGTTTTTATTTGTGGAGGGGGGATTAACGCAGGGGCCCCCTCATGCTAGCCCCGCGCTGTGCCACTGAGCTACATCCCCAGCCATTGTCTTATTTTTTATTTTGAGACAGGGTCTTACCAGGTTGCCCAGGCTGGTGATTCTCCTACCTTAGCCTCCTGAGTAGCTGGGATTATGAGTGTCCATAGCCACACTCGGCTAGCAAGCACTTTTTGGGCACCTGATAGCTATGTCCCAGGCACTGTTCTGGACCCTGGGAAAACAAACACGAACAAAACAAAACCAGGCCCACTTCTCATATTTTTGAGGCCCGCATGCCATAAATGTAAATACTGCAGTTCTTAGAAGTTATAATCCAGCTAACAAACAAACAAAATGTCTTCATCCTGTCCCTCCACACATACACCTTTGCTGATGCCGTGGAAAACCTGGTTCGGATTCACAATTCCCAGATCTGTGTGGTAGCAAAGACTGAGCCAAACCTGGACACACCACCCACCCCACACCGCTCCTCCCCAACTGTCCAACGTTGTGAGGTCCCAGATTCACATACAGCTCCCGGAAACAGCTTCCCTTGGGCCCTCACAGAGACACACCTGCAGGAGAGGCCTGCACAGGCCCGAGAAGAGCAGCAGGGCCCGGTGCCCAGAGAGCAGTCTGAGGGGTGAACGCCCAGCCCTGGGCACTGTGGACTCTTCCCACCTCTAGAGGCCAACCAGGGCTTCAGGACAGGCACAGGCACACACACACACTCCCACACACACGTACGTGCATACCAAAGGGCCTCAGGCACACGCTCCCACACACATGTACATGCATACCAAAGGGCCTCAGGCACACACTCCCACACACATGTACATGCATACCAAAGGGCCTCAGGCACACGCTCCCACACACATGTACATGCATACCAAAGGGCCTCAGGCACACGCTCCCACACACATGTACGTGCATACCAAAGGGCCTCAGGCACATGCTCCCACACACATGTACGTGCATACCAAAGGGCCTCAGGCACACGCTCCCACACACACACATACATGCATACCAAAGGGCCTCAGGCACACGCTCCCACACACA